ACACCTGAACAGGGCTGGGACCAATGCCCTCGCAGGGAGGTTTGCTGGTACTTTAGGGAAGGTTTAAACTAATTTAGAAGCAGGAAGGGAATCAGGATGTAGCATCAGAGAGGAGAAACAAGTTAAATAGAGGGCAGGGAGAGATGAACAACAACACAAAAATAATAATAATAATCCTTGCATTTGATATAGCACTTTTCACGTCTTCTAGACGTCCCAAAGCGCTTCACAGAATATACTGTAAAGTGAATTGACTGTATATTTGTGGGCGAACGCGGCAGCCAATTGCACACAGCAATGTCCCACAAACAGTCATGGATTGAAAATGACCAATTTATCATTGTTTTGTTTTTTTGGAGGGATTATTATTTGACAGATTAGATGTGGGGGAAAATGCAGAGCAGACTAAGTTGGTCTTGGAGTGCATGTGCTGTGCATAAATGCATGGAGTGTGACTAATAAGATGGGTGAGCTGCGGCTCAAGTTGCCACATGGGGTTATGATGTAGTGGCAATAACCGAGGCGTAGCTCAAACAAGGGCAGGAATGGGAGCTGAATATTCCTGGCTACATTGTTTTCAGGAGGGATAGGGATGTAAACAAATTGACTTCACACCACATTACTTTCAAATATAGATTTTATTAAAACTCGAACAGACAAATCAGCTACACTGTATCCCTTATACAGATATACTAGGCAACAGACAGAATCAAAATCATATTACCTGATTCGACTGCGCAGTGGTGATAGCTCCTGGAACTCCCACAATCCTCCTCCACTCAAACCGGAGAAAGCCCTCCTTCCTTATGGATCTCACTACTCCTCTTTCACTTTTAATGGTCACTTTCTTACTAGAGGTAAATTCCCTCATCCCTGTACGTATACATATACAGTAGAATCGATATCGATTCCACTGGGCAGTGTGCTGACCCTCTACATAACTCCCAACTATTTCAAAGTTATCTTTTATGTGTTTCTAACTTCACCTCTCCTTGTCACAGAGATAGCCCCCACCCTTCACAGGCTGCTTTGCAGAGAGAGATATGCACAACTTCTGGGCAGCCTTCCACCGCGAGCTTGTTTCTCAGCCTTGAGATAGGCAGGTATCTGAGGCTGCAGCCTTTTCTTTCTGTGGTCCATTGTTCTTACATCTTTGCTCAAGGACCTGAGTGCTCATTATCTCAGAGGAGTGAATATCTTCCAGGAAAATATGAAATATAATCAGAAGCTAACCTTAACCCGTTCAGCAATGCTATTTTTAACCCCTGCTAATCTAGTCATTAAATCAAAATTCCTGGTTTTCCCAGCTCTCGGATGACCTTCACTCATTATCTCTTGGCTACTTCTGTTACTGTGGTTACATACCATTTCTGCTTATTTTTGCACATATTTTTAACTATATTAGTTACTTTTTAGCCATCAATTTTTCTGGAACATTCGATTTCTGCTATCAATATATCAGTGTATCCCGTGGTGGTATCTCAACAAGAAAGGAAAAAAAGGAGCAATATTGCTCAAAGTCACGGTTACAGCCCTGGAGGGGACAATGTGCTAGAGGGTTCAAAAACAGAATCTATTTTTTAGAATTAAGGAGCAGAAAAGGAGCAGTTACTCTGTTAGGTGTATATGACAGACCACCAAATAGTGGGAAGGAGATAGAGGAGCAAATCTGCAAGCAAATTTCAGAAAGATGTATAACCAATAGAGTAGTGATAATGGGGGACTTCAATTATCCTAACATAGACTGGGAAGAAAACAGTGTAAAGGGCAAGGAGGGAGAAGAATTTGTGAAATGTGTGCAGGAAAATTTTCTTTATCAGTATGTTTCCAGCCCAAAGAGGAAGGAAGCAGCGCTGGATATCGTTCTGGGGAATGAAGTGGGGCAAGTGGGAGTGCACCTGGACAACAGTGATCACAACATCATTAGATTTAGAGTAGTTATGGAAAGGAACAAGAAACAATCAAAGGTGAAGATACTCAACTGGAAGAGGACTAATTTCAGTGAGATTAAAGGAATCTGGCCCAGGTGGATTGGAAACGAAGATTGATGGATAAACCAGTAAACAAGCAAAGTGAGGCCCTCGTGGAAGAGATAGTTAGGGAACAGACGAAACACATTCCCACAAAGGGGAAAAGTAAGGCATCTAAAACTCCCTGGATGACTAAGGAAATTGGGATAAAAATAAAACAGAAAAAGGAGGCTTATGATAAATGTCAGGCCGCAAATACAAAAGATACAAAAAACAGAATATAGAAAGTAGAGAACTTAGGGATAACTTAGGGAAATAAGAGGGACAAAGAGATTGTATGAAAAAAGATTAGCGAGTAACATAAAGGGAACCCTAACGTATTTTATATGCATATTAGCTGAACCATTCCAGCTACGCTTGCAACCAGTTTCATTTAATCGGCCTTCTCTCTTTCGTCGGGCATTTTTATTTGTCCTTGAAAGGCTTGATCCTCAACTGTCTTTTCTCCCCCATATCCGTGCCATGACCCGCTCTGCGTTCCCCCAGCTTCGCAACATTGCCTGATTCCGCCACTGCTTCACCCTTCAGTCCGCCGAAATCCTCATACATGCATTTGTCATCTTAAGGCTCGACTACGAAAACTCCATTAAGGTGGCCTCCCCAACTCCTCCCTCCACAAGCTGCAGAACATCCAGAACTTTGTAGCTCATGTCCTTTCCCGCACCAGGCTACGTGATCCCATCACCCTCGCCCGGCTCCCCATCCTCCCACTTCTATATATCTGACCTTCTGACCCCCTATAAGCCTCTCCACACCCTCTGCTCAGCCCTACCATCGGTGGCCAGGCTTTCAGCCTCTCTGCCCCCACCCTTTGGAACTCCATCCCACAAACCCTCCACCGTGCTCCCTCCATTGTCTCTTTCAAGGCATGACTCAAGACCCACTTCAATCCACGACTGTTTGTGGGACCCTGCTGTGCACAATTGGCTGCTGTGTTTAGCCCATAAAATATACAGTCAATTCACTATATAGCATATTCTGTGAAGCGCTTTGAGAGGTCTCGAAGATGTGATAAGGGCACTATATCAAATGCAAGGATTAGTATTATTTTGTCTTTATTGGTATACATAAAGAATAAAACGTTCGTCAAAAGTAGGGTGGGGCTGATTAGGGACCAAGGAGGAAATCTTCTTGTGGAGGCAGAGTGCACGGCTAGCATACTGAATGAGTACTTTGCATGTGTCTTCACAAAAGAGGATGAGTCAATGCCACAGAAGACTCCACTGGCATCCCATCACACAGAAGATACAGTTCAAGACCTGGTGCTCACCTTCAAAACCTCCACGGTCTTGCTCCCCCCTACCTCTACGACCTCTTAACCTCCTACCAACCTGCCCGGACTCTCTGCTAAGTAGGCTCCGGCCTCCTTCACGTCTCCCACCTCACCCACCCCATCATTGGTGGGCGGGCCTACAGCCAGTCTGCCTCCATCCTCTGGGACTCCATCCTGCAGTCCCTCCGCCTCGCCCCTCCCTTGCCTCCTTCATGACCCGTCTCAAGACCTTCCTCTTCAACCGTGCCTTCGATCACCCTCCTTCCCCCCCACCCCTTGCTCTGCAGTCTCCCCTATCCAGACCCCCAGCCCGTGTCCGAAACACTGATTGTCCAACGCATGGACGTCCTCCCGACGTGAAAGGCACTGTACAAATGTAATTTTGTTGTCATCGTCGTAATAGAGGAGAGGGTAGAGAAATTGGATAGAATAAAAATAAACGGAGAGGAGGTACTGAAAAGGTTGACGGTGCTCAAGTTAGATAAGTCACCCGGTCTGGATGGGATGTATCCTAGGTTACTGAGGGAAGTATGGGTGGAAATAGCGGATGCTCTGGCCACAATCTTTCAATCCTCCTTGAATCCTGGAGCGGTGGCAGAGGATTGGAGGGTTGCAAATGTTACTCCGCTGTACAAAAAGAGGGAGAAGGATAGACCCGGGAACTACAAGCCAGTGAGCCTGACGTCAGTAGTGGGGATCCATCTTGTCTATTCCTAGTCGTGCTCGCTTCTAATGAACTTTAATATTTCTCTTTTTACAGCATCTTCTAGAGACTATAATCTGGGACAAAATATATTGCCTTACAAACTTGTCCTCCCCAAATTATTATTTAGGTTTAGTATATATGGATCTTTAAAAGGCTTTTGATAAAGTGCCACATAATCAACTTGTTAGAAAAATTGAAGCCTACAATATCAAAGGGACAGTGGCAGCCTGAATACAAAACTGGCTGAGGGACAGAAAGCAGTGGTGAATGATTTTCTCTGACTGTAGAGAGGTATACAGTGGTATCCCATAGAGGTCGGTATTAGGACCACTGCTCTTTTTAATCTATATAAATGACCTGGACTTGGGTATAGGGAGTACAATTTCCAAGTTTGCAGATGATACAAAGCTAAGAAGAGTAGTAAACTGTGAGGAGGATAGTAGCAGACTGCAAGAGGACATGGACAGACTGCTGAAATGGGCAGACATGTGGCAGATGAAATTTAATGCGAAGAAATGAAAATTGATGTATTTTGGGAGGAAGAATGAGAGACAATATAAGCTGATGGTACAATCTTAAAGGGGGTGAAGGAACAGAGAGACCTGGGGGTTCACATAAGCAAATCTTTGAAGTTGGCAGAGCAGGCAGATAAAGCAGTTAAAAAGCATACGGGTTACTTGGCTTTATAAATAGGGGCATAGGATACAAAAGTCAGGAAGTTATGATGAACCTTTATAAAACACTGGTTAGGCCTCAGCCAGAGACTGTGTTCAGTTCTGGGCACCACACTTTAGGAAGGATGTCAAGTACTTGGAGAGGGTGCAAAAGAGATTTCCCAAGAATAAAAGGGCTTCAGTTGTGCAAGTCTCTTGAGGATACTGTAACCTGTAAATGGAATATTACCCAATGTAGTCATTCTTGGAGATTATCACCAGAGGCCTGGTAGAGCCCGGGAGTACCAGCGGCTGATCTGTGTTTCCTTCACTTATAGCTGTGGCCATATCTACCATTCGCAGTGTCTCCACAACAAGAACTGCGGCGTGCAGACCGATGGCCAGACCAGATGGTTATGCTACAAGTGTAACTCTAGTAACAAAGGAGGACGACACAGAGACATGGGGTCAGAAGTTAACAGGGGCAGAAGCACTTCCCTTGCACAGGTAAGGTGCTACCAAGTAATCTCTGCTTCCACCTCATTCACCATGTCAGTAATGGCACAATGTGCAGTGAAGGAAAACTGTGCCCACAGACATTACTCACAGTTATCTTTTGGGTCTGATGCACCAGAATCTTTCTGACCCAGAAGTAAGTGCTCTGAGATGCCGTCCAGTGTGAAAAGCGCTATATAAATGCAAGTTGTTGTTGTAAGAGCTATACCAATTGACACAAACATTGCTCCATTTACTCTACAATGAGGGAGGGATAGAGGTAAGTAAGCGATGGTGGCAAGGGTGGGATGCAGACGAGGGAGGGAAGGGCGGCAAGGGAGGGAGGCATGGAGGCAAGGGAGTTAGTGCTGGAGCTCCCCTTCTGCACACTTCAACAGTCAACTTCAACAATCATTTTCTGGCATTCCTTATTCTAACAATATATAAAAGAACTGTTCAAAAAAAATCCAATTTTTACTTCCAATAATAATTCTCAATTTGTACCTTCCTGTTACTGCCTCCTTACAGGCCATTGTACATCGTCACAATCATCTTACAATCTGCCATCAGCCTGCACACTTAATCCCTTCTGAATCACTGATATGAATCATCAGCCATAATAAAGACATCAAATAGCCTCTTAGTCACTGTCCTTTCAACATCACTTATAACAGTCATTAACAACCCTGTCATTTTATTATATGAGGTTACTATATATGATTACAATAACGGAAGGTGCAGTGAGTAAAAGGTTGCAATTTAACATCAGGATTTAAAAACTCATAAGCTATCTGATGATATATTTCAAGCTTAGGAAGGACAAGAGATGGAAGTGTGGAGGAGCAACAACAATAACATTTATAAAGTGCTCCTCATGGAGGGTAGCATCTCAGAGCGCTTGACAATAGTGGAGCCTGACACCGAGGAGGGGGGATGTGATTGTAAACACAATCGAAGAGGAAGGTCTTCAGGCGTGATCTGCAAATGGAGAAAGAGGGGCAAGGTGGAGGACTTGAGCGAGAGTTTTCCAGTGTTCTGGGGCATAGTGGCTGAAAGCGCTGCAGCTGATGTTGGAGCAAAGGGGATAAGGGAGCAGCAGGAGAAATGTTGGTAATGTTAAAATAGAGTTAGAGATGCTGTCCTTCAGATGAGATGTTAAACTGAGGTCCTGTCTACCTGTTCAGGAAGATGTTAAAGATCTCATGGCACTATTGGAAACGAAAAATGAGTTTCTCCTGATGTCCTGCCAACAAACCCCCAAATAAAATTGTACATTCACTTCATGAATGTTTATGGGACATCCTATATGCAAATTGACTCCATAAGACCCACAGTGCAGTGAATGGAGTCCTGTAGCTCAGTGGTTAGGGCACTCGCTTTGCAAGTGAGAGACCTTGAGTTCAATTCCAAGCAGGACGAAACCTTGGGCAAGTTTCCTTACTCCACACGCCTAATAATAATCCCTCCAAAAACCAAAAGCAATAATTAAATTGGTCATTTTCAATCTACGACTGTTTGTGGGACATTGTTGTGCGCAATTGGCTGCCGCGTTCTCCCACAGATATACAATTCACTTTACAGTGTGTTCTGTGAAGCGCTTTGGGACGTCCTCCCGACGTGAAAAGCGCTATAGCAAATGCAAGGATTATTATTATTATTATAATCCTGTGAAGCGCTTTTAGACCTCCCAATATGAAATGCCCTTATGAGGAATATTTTTATTAGTGATGCAAAAGTTTGCAATGGAGGGAGAACTGGTAGATGGCAGAGGTAACGGGCTGTCTCCCATCAAAAAATAGGCCTGGCATTTTGTCCAGTATGTGCGAGGCATATTGAGCAATTCTGTTTGCCTCTTGCTGAATGGTTCAGAGTTGCTATAGTAAAGGGAGCTGCAAGCACACAGGGAGAAATGTTCTTAATTAGTGCTTCAGAGCAGCATTGGAAGCGCTCTGAGATGCTACTCTGCGTGGAGAGTGCTGTATAAGTGCAAGTTGTTGTTCTTGTTGTGGAAACAGTGGCTCAATATGTCCTCTTGTGTTCTGTGAATTGGAGGGGCAGGGGTAATGTAAAAGTATTTGCTCTCAAAAATCACAGTAATACAGTTCAGTGTGGCACTTCATCCACCCTCTCCGTTACTTCATCAAATACACTATCAGGTTTGTTAGACACAATTTGCCTTTAAAAATCCGTGTTGGTTGTTCTTTATTAACCCATATTTTTCTAAGTGAAAATGTATTTTTTCCCTGACGTTAAGCTCACTGGCCTGTAGTTTTATCCTTCTGCCCCTTTTCGTACAGGGGAGTAACATTTGTAACCCTCCAGTCCTCTGACACCACCCCGGTTTCCAAGGAGGATTGAACGATTGTGGACAGAGCCTCCACTATTTCCACCTTTACTTCCCTCAGTATCCTAGGATGCATCCCATCCGAACTGGGTGATTTATCTACCTTGAGCTTCGTCAATCTTTTTAGTACCTCCTCTGTTTCTTCTTATTCTATCCAATTTCTCTACCCTCTCCTCCGATATTGTTGCATTGGCTGCAGCCTCTTCTTTTGTGAAGACAGATATAAAATGCTCATTCAGTATGTGAGCCTCTGCCTCTGTAGCGACAAGAAGATTACCTTTTTCGTCCCTAATTGGTCTCACCCTACCTTTGACTAACCTTTTATTCTTTATCTATACTAATAAAGACGAGGTGTCTGTGTCTGTCTGTGTATCTACCAATAATACAATAACCGATTGACGAGAGACATGATTTATACATAATCGGAACGGTCTACCATGGGAGAGTGTCATGGGCACTTTTTTTCAGGGATCTCCTATCGTTAATGAGCTATATATAAGCTATGCATGGTTTCTGCAACAAAATAGCCACAGAGGAAATAACATACCCTTCTAAAGAGTATATATATATAAGTATATCTATACTAAGTATAGTATATATATCTATACTAATATATTTTGCAAAAAATGTATGGCAGTTTTTTTTTGCCTTGCCTCGAGGACCTGCTGGATCACACAGTAAATTTGATAGGAGTCCTCCCAAAAGGAGTCCTCCCAAAAGGAATCCTCCCACAGGAGTCATCCCACATGCGTCCTCCCAACTGAGTATAGATGAAGAAGAAATTTCCGTCTGTGTGTCTGTCTGTGTGTCAATCTACATTCTATATTAGATCCTTTGGTTGCTTATAAAATACCTCAAGGTTCCCTTTTATGTTATCCACTAATCTTTTTTCATACAATCGCTTTCCCCCTCTTATTTCCTTTTTCCGTTCTCCTCTGTACTTTCTATATTCTATTTGATTATCTTCTGTATTTTGTACCTGACATTTATCATAAGCCTCCTTTTCCTGTTTGATTTTACCACTTACTGGTCTCAATGCCCCAGGAGTCGAAGCCCTCCCTTCTGCGCCATTTCTCCAGCCACACATTAACAACAACAACAACAAGATTCCATTTATAGAGTGCCTTTCAAGTCGGGAGGACGTCCCAAGGCGCTGGACAGTTGGGTCAGGACCTGAGCAGGGGGGAAATGGTCAGGGTGAGGGGAGGGAAGGGAGGGAGCGAGGAGGGGGGAAATGGTCAGGGTGAGGGGAGGGAAGGGAGGGAGCGAGGCGGGGGTAGAGAGTCGAGAGGGGAGCTGAAGGCACGGTCAAAGAGAAGGGTCTTGAGACCGGCCTTGAAGGAGGAAAGGGAGGAGGCGGAGAAGGCACTGGGGGATAGAGTTCCAGAGCCAGGGGCTGAGAGGCTGAAGGCCCGGCCACCGATGGTAGGGCGGTTGGGGCGGGGGATATGGAGCAGACCGGAGCCAGAGGAACGGAGGGTACGGGCAGGTAGGTAGGGGTATAGTAGGTCGGAGAGGTAGGAGGGAGCAAGGCCGTGAATGGCCTTGTAGGTGAGGATGAGGATCTTGAATTCGATCCTCTGGGGGATGGGGAGCCAGTGGAGGCGAGGAGGGTGGGAGTGATGTGGTCGCGAAGCCTGGTGCGGGCAGTACACGAGCTGCAGAGTTCTGAATGACCTGCAGTGTGGAGGGAGGAGCCGGGAAGGCCGGCGAGGAGAGAGTTCCCATAGTCCAGCCTTGAGGTGATAAAGGCGTGGACCAGAGTTTCAGCCGCGTGAGGGGTGAGGTAGTGCCGTAGCCTTAGTCTGGCAACATTAACCTGCTTTATCTTGTTGTTCCTATACACACTAGCACGTGGTGCTGGAAGTAATCCAGAGATTATCACCTTTGAGGTCCTGCTTTTCAGTTTCCTCCCTAGCTCCTAAAACTCTTGTCTGTAGGACCTCAACCCTTTTCCTTGCTACGTCATTGTTTCCTACATGGACCACGACTTCTGGCTATTCCTCTTCCCCTCGCAGAATATTCTGCACCCATTCCGTGACATCCTCCGCCCTAGCACCAGGGAGGCAACACACCATGCAAGACCCACGTCTGCGGTTGCAGATACGCTTGTCTATCACCTTGATTGTTGAATCCCCAATGACAATAGAATGGCTACAATTCCCTGCGGCCCCCTGTGGAGTCATTTGCCCCACTGTGACATGGATTTGCCTAAGAATGCCCTCCCCCAAAGCATCATCATACTCACCAGTATTCAGCACAGAAAACTGGTTTGTGAGTGCCATACTCCCGGGGGATTTCTGCACTGCCTGTCTCTTCTTCCTACCACCCACTCACTCTCCTCCTGAACTCTCTGTGGCTACAGGGTGACCACTTCCTGAAACGTACAATCCATAAAGGCTTCAGCTTCCCGGATGCACTATAGTGATGTCAGCCTCTCCTCAAGCTCAGAAACCCTGAGCTCGAGCAGCCGCAGGCACTTGTCTAGGACACACAAAGCATCCTGGAGTTCCCACATGTCACATAATGTGCATGCAACGGGTCTCAGCTGTTCTGCCATATTCCCAGAAGTTGTTTTTTTTATTTTTATATGTATATATATATAAGTACCTCCTTCCCCTCTGCACTGAATTCCCATTCTCGCTAAATTTCTTCACAAAGTCTCACT